CATCTCTCTGTCAGGAGGTGGATAACCGTGTTTCATCATCAGTCTTCTGGAATCACAGATGATCATTGTAATCAGAGTACTTAAGGCTTTCAGAGTCATTTGTTTTACAATGTTGTTGTTATTGTATAAATGAAACCAATTTGTTGTAGAACAACAGAATAATATTACAGAAGAGTAAATTGTTCTCATTTATACAATAATAATAGCATCGATTCTGTTCACTTCATTCTGCATCAATTCATACAAGTATTCCCAGGTTTCTTAAACTGTCCCTTTCATAATTTCTTAGAATATACTAGTATTCCATTAGATTAATATACCATAGTTTCTTCAGCTACTCCCCAACTGATAGCACCTTAGATGCAGGTATATTATTAGTAGATTAAGGTTTATTAGACATTATTAGTGGAGAGCATGGATAGGAAGAGGAAGAAGAAGGAGAAAGAGAGAGAAGGAAAGAGGGAAATTTTTTTTTCTAGCTCTTTGAGGAAAAGTTGGAAGAGATTTAAGAAGGAGGGTATTAAGGAGGATTTCTGTACTTGTGAAGAAGAGATGGCCTAGAGTGGAATTGAGCAGAGAAAGAGAGGAAAAAGTAGGTCTCCATGGGTGATCCTTCAAGGGGTGAAAAGAAATGGTGAGGAAGAGATGGTGTCAAACAATTTTGTTCAGTAAACTGTTAGGCTGCTATTCAGAGATAAGAGAGGCTGGGTGAACTGGGCCTATGCCTGGGAGTATGTTGGATGGCTGGAGGATGAGTGCAAAGTGGGCATTTTATAAATGACTATTTGTATTAAGTTAGAGGGTCCCCACTATAAAATACCTGACAAATAGGAGACTTCCAAAGCGGAGGAATCAACCATCTCTCTGGACAGCTCATTCCATTTTTAGATAACTAATAGTTTGGAAGATTTTTCTGAGCTCAACCAAAATTTGTTTCTTTGCAAATTCCACCCATTATTCCTGACTCTGTCCTCTCAGACCAAACAGAACAAATCTTTCTAATCAATCTAATCAAATCTAATCAATCTTTCACACGACAGCCCTTCATATACAGAAGACGGTTATCCTGTCCCTCCTGAGACTTCGATGCCCAATAACTTCAATTGATCTTTATATGACATGGGTTCAAGGCCTTTTACCATCTTGGTTGTCTGCTCTGGATGTTTTCCAGCTTACCAATGTCCTTAATCTGTGACACCCAGAACTGAATGTAGTACTCCAGATAAGGTCTAACAAGGGCAAAGTACAGAGGGACTCACTGGTTTTTTTTTTTTATTCTTGGAAATGATGCCTCTCTTAATATGAGGCCAATTTGCATGAATTTTTAGGTTGCTATATCTCATTGCTAATTAATATTGAACTAGCAGACCACTAAAACTCTTAAATATTTTTCAGATAAACTGCAATTTAATCATGGCTCCCTAATGTTATATACAAATGAAGTTGATTTTTTCTACCCAAGCATAAGACTTTACATTTATTCTGAATGAATTTTAGCATTATTAGTTTCAGCTCAATGCTTTAGCTTATCAATATTTTTTTGGTCAGTTAGTCAATAAACATTTATTAAGCAAATACTATGTGCAAAGCCCTGTGCTAAGTGCTGAGGATATGAAGAAAGGCAAAAGACAGTCTCTACCCTCAAGGAGTTCACAGTCTAATGGGGGAGACAACATGTTAACAAATATGTACAAACAAGCAACAGACAGGATATAATGGGGGTGGGGAATAGTCTCAGAGGTTATCTCAGAGGGAAGGCACTAAGATTAAGGACTGGGAAAGGCTTCTTAGAGAAGGTAGGACTTTAGTTGAGACTTGAAGGAATCCAGAGAAGTCAGAAGTTAGAGATGAGGAGGGAGAGAATTCCAGCTTGGGGGAAAACAAGTGAAAATGTTTAGAGTTGTATGCTAGAAATAGCAAAGAGGGCAATGTCACTGGATGGCAAAGTACACGAGCCTGGGGGCTAGGGTTTGAAAGGTGAAAGGAGACTGGAAACATAGGGAAGGGTCATGTTATGAAGGGCTTCAAACACCAGACAGAGGATTTTATATTTGATTTTGGAGGCAATAAAGAGCCACTGGACTTTATTGAGGTGTGAGGGGGAAGGGTGACATGATCAGATTTGAGCATTAGTCTCACAGCCTCAGGTTCCTTATCTATAAAATGGGAATAATAACAGCATCTATTTCCCAACAGGGCTTTTGTGAGGCTCAACAGAGATATATGTGAAGCATTTTGTAAACCTTAAAGCACTATATAAAGAAATATGAGCTCTTGTTATTTCCTGTATACCATTGCAGTGGTTAGGGTAGTCTATCTCATGGTAAGAATGTTGGTATTTAAAAACATGGGATGGTATCACAGAGCAGCTTGAAAACAAGGGCTACACAATTTTCCCATCGCAATTCAGCTCACTCTCCTTATTACATTTTGAGCTTAGTTGTCCTGTCATATTAGGGTAGGCTCTACATTCAAAAGGGCTATAACTCCTAGCAAACTATGGGGAACTTAAGATTTAATTAAACTTATAGGTATTTAAAGTATTCAAATACAATTAATCAAACTAAATGAGAAGTCAGTGTGGTGTCATAAAAACACTTGATTAGGGAGTCAGGAAATCTGGGCTCAAGCCATAGCTCTGCTCATAGCTGTGACCTTGGACACCTCTCTGAGTCACAGTTTCTTCATTAGTCAAGCTAGGAAGTCAGACTACATCTTCCAGGGTTCCTTTCAGCTCTAAAATAATATGAATTTAAATATGACTTCCATACCTCACTGGTATGATGGATTTGTGATCTTATCAATGTGGATATCATAATAACTCTTTTTGATTCTGTCCTATTCCTGTTCATGTCCTCCCATAAATTCTCAAGAGTATTTACTGAATGTTTTGGAAGTTTTCCTTTTTTTTTCTCTCCCCCTCTGTGTGTGTGTGTGTGTGTGTGTGTGTGTGTGTGTGTGTGTGTTTATGTATATATCAAATAAGTAGATTGGTCATACATGGAATTTAAGAGATTATAAATCAAAACACTTTTTTTCAAATCAGTTTTATCTCCTACCCATTCATTCCTCCTCACTGGAAAATAATAAAAAAAAGAAAATCAGAAGAAAAACTATGAATGTGAATAGTCAAATGAAACAAATTTCTACATTCTCCAAGTTCAAAAAGTGTTTCATTCTTCACTCTAACACTATCACCTCTCTGTCAATAGGTAGGAAGATAGCATGTTTTATTATATGTCCTCTGGAATCAGAGTTGATCCCTGCATTGATCACAATTCTTAAATCTTTCAAAGTTGCTTGTTTTACAAAGTTGTTATTAGATAAGTTATTCTTCCGGTTTTGCTCACTTCATTCTGAATTAATTCATACAGGTCTTTCCAAGTTTTTCTGTAACTGTCCCTTTCAGAATTCCTTATGCCACAACAGTATGTCATTACATTTATATATTTATTATACATTTATGTTTCTTCAGCCATTATACAATTTATAGGCATCCCCTTAGTTTTCAATTCTATGCTGCTACAAAAAGAAGCGGTACAAATATTTTTTTGTACATACAGGTCCTTTTCCTTTACTCTTTGGGGGTATAGTCCTAGAGATAGTATCACTGGGTCAAAAGAATGTGAACAGTTTAATAATGTCTTGGGAATAGTTACAAATTACTTTACAGAATGGCTGGACCAGTTCATACTTCCATCAACGGTATGTTAACTGTCTTTTCACCAAAGCCCTTCTAATAGTTGTCATTTTCCTTTTTTGGTCAACTTTTGCCAGTCTGATAGGTATGAACTGGAACCTGTTTCTTTTCTCTAATTACTAGAAAATGCATTTTAAAACGATTTATGTAATTCACTTTTACGATAACACTGTTGGATTCGCATAGCCACATATCACAAGCATGTAAACTCCGGCAGAAATACTTGCATTTATTTAGACCATCCATCCTCCAGGACTCTCAGGATGGAACCTGGCCCTAGACTCTTTTTTCTTTCTTTCTGAGAATCTTAGCAGCCATGACTTCGGCGGACAAATCACCAAGATCTCAGATCTACACCTCGGCAGAGATCGCTGCAGCCTTCTTGTCCAACCACTTCATGTTACAGATTGGTAAACTGAGCCCGGGGAAGTTAACTGACTTTCCTTAGACTACGCCGGCTTTACGCATCAGAGGCGTCTTTGAGGCGGACTCCAGTTCCTCCTTCCCCCGCCCCCACAGCTCCTCTCCGTCCCCCCCCAGCAGCACCTCTCCGCCCCTCCCAGCAGCTCCTCTCCGCCCCGCAGCTCCTCTCCAGCCCCCTCCTCCCCCAAGCAGCTCCTCTCCGCACCCCCAACTCCTCTCCAGGCCGCTCCCCCCCCAGCGTCCAAGGAAGTGCCGCGGGGGAGGGGCGCAGGCTGATCCATTTCGGGGCTGTTCTCGGAAAGCCCCGGCCACTTTTCCAGCGCATGCCGGGAGAGGGAAGCCCGGCGGGAGCCCCGAGGAGGACCCCCGAGCCAGTCACGAGATGGGGGAGGTGGTTTCGAGGGCCGGGAAGCGGGCGTGGGGGTGCGCGGCGGGGGGGCGGGGACAGAGCGAGCCGACCCCCGCCTGCCCCCTCCCGGGGCTCTCCCCGCCCCTCCGTCCCCACCCCCACTCCCGTCCCTTTTCGCCTCTTCCGGTCCCTCCCCCCGGCCTCGGCGGACTCTGCCACATCCTCCGGTGACATCAGCCCGCGCCGCCATATTGGGGGAAAGTAGCCGCCGCCGCTTCCAGCTCAGCGCGCCCGCCGCCGCCCCCGCCGCCCCCGCCAGCAGGAGCCCCTTCCTCGCCCGCGCGCCGGCCGCCGAGCGAGCTGCCCCGAGGCCCGTCCTCCATGACTCCCGCGGGCGCCGCCGCAGACGGACGAAGCCCCAGCGCTTGAAGCAGAGCCCGTGCGGGCCATCGCGGGCTAGCGGAGAGCCAAGGCGAGCGGCCCGAGGCGCCCTGCCACGCAGCCCCGCCGCTGCCTCCGATCTCCGCGGCCCCGGCCGCAGCCATGACCTCGCTGACCCAGCGCAGCTCGGGCCTGGTGCAGCGCCGCACCGAGGCCTCGCGCAGCGCCGCCGACAAGGAGCGGGCGGCCGGCGGCGGAGGGGGCGGCGGCGGCGACGACGACGAGCAGAGCCGCCGGGACGAGCAGGACGACGACGACAAGGGCGACTCCAAGGAAACCCGGCTGACCCTAATGGAGGAGGTGCTGCTGCTGGGCCTCAAGGACCGAGAGGTACCGGCCCGGCCCGGCCCCGGCGCGGAGGGAGGGCGGCCCCAGGGACGCGGCGCGGCCCGGCTCGGCCTCGCGGTGCCGGCTGCCCGGCCTGGGGAGGGGGCTGTCCCTCCCCTGTGTGCGGGGAGGGGGCTGCCGCCCCTCACCTGTCTGCGGAGAGGGGGCTGCTGCCCCTCACCTGCGTGCGGGGAGGGGCAGCGAGCGAGCGGGCTGGGGGCGGCCATCCAGTCCTTGCTCTGGGACCCCAGGGCGGGAGAGATCGCCTTCCACAGACCCAGCCGCCAAACATATGGGTTAACATTTCTCCATATTCCCTTAAATAAACAGGGCGCTTTCCCAGCCCGGAATGCTGCTTACTAATGCCAGAATGTCCGTTTCTCGAACATCACTCAGCATCTTCAGTTGGGGCACTTCTACCGTATACCATTTTAAATTTGGGATTGCCTTTGAAATGGGAATGGTTCTGTTAGCCCAGCCACCTCCAAACTCATAGGTCTTAAAATCCGCCACAGATCCTGTTTATGGGAAGAAAAAAACGCCCCTCCCTTTTTTAAAAAAACTTGGATTAGAAAAAAGTTATGGAGATTCCAAAGGTCAGATAAAAGTTTTCATGGAAGCGCTATACGTTAAGACATCAAGAAGCAATTTCAGTGGCCGTTTAGAGTGCTTTGCACTTTACACACCTCCCTCCCAAGTCTGTATTTGTACAGTTGGCTAAAGCTTATCCAGGAAGTTTTCTGTACCTTTCGATACAAGCTTGGTTGATTTACTTTTGTCAGTGGGTGGGAAGGGATAAATAAGGAAGAATCCAGACTTTTTTTTTCAGTGAGGTAGTTGGGGTTAAGTGACTTGCCCAGAGTCGCATAGCTAGTGAGTGTTATATGTCTGAGGTCGCATTTGAACTCAGGTCCTCCTGACTCCAGAGCCGGTGCTCTATCCACTGCCACCTAGCTGCCCCGAATCCAGACTTTTTAACCAGGAAATTTTTGCAGGGTATTATTTTCTAATGGGAGAGTTTATTGTGAGAGTCACCATTTGGTTTTGTAGTAACATAGTTTGTAAAGTTAAAAGATTTAAAAATCCATGCTATATTAAAAAGAAATGCTGTTAGAGTGTTTGATGTTCCAGAACAGTGTTTAAAAATGGGCTTCTGTAATTTTTCTTATGAATTGAACTTTTTTTAAAGAATTTACTTGTATTGCAGGTGACATTTTGGCCAAGACAGGAGGTAGACATATATAATCTTGTCAGGGCAGTGCTACATCTCAGTCTAGGAGACTCAAGGAACTAATGACAGGCCTACTGTATTGAGGAGCAAACTCAAAAGTCAGTAAAAACTTTACTCTGTGTAAAGTTATTCAAAATTCGTAAATATAGGCATAGAATTTCTGTACTGTGAGACATTATAGTTTTTCTATCCTAAGTTAGCCTTTTCTTTATCCTAGTTAGGCAATATCCAGTTTTTCAGTTTTCATTACTAAATGTTGCTATTCTTTTAGAATACTGGTGTTTGGGAACATAAAAAAAAAACTTAAATTTAACTTTATGGCATATGGTCTAGTGTGTTGCAGTGCCTCCTGTTCACTTGCTTAGCCTTAGTTCTATAAATCAGTGACTGTGTGTCTTTGACCAAGTTAAACTTGGTATATTTTCAGTCTCCAAGTATAAATGGGTATATAATTGTTTGTTCTTTATCTGTTTCAGAAATGTCAAAGGATAAATGCAGCATTGTACAAGAGTTGTTTTAAATCAAAAAACATTTATTAAACATTTACTATATGCCAAGTACTGGGACTACCAAGAAAGGCAGAAAGTTTGTCCTCAAGGAGATCTAATACTTGAGGAAATCTGTATGTAAGATGGAAAGAAAGACTCTAGTAGCTGGGGGTATGGAGGGGGAAGAAGTAAGGTTGGGGAAGAGAGGAGATCAAACATAGACTACCTGGGAGAAGTGGCATTCAAACTGAGTCTTGAAAGAAGCCAGGAATTCTAAGGCAGAGAAGAGGAGGGAGAACACATAGGGAACAGCAAGTAGGAGGTCAGTATTGTCTGGTTCCTAAAGTGTGTAGGAGTAGTATGTAAGAAGACTGAAATGGTAGGAAGGGGTCAGGTTGTGAAGAGTATGTGAAGATTACCAATCAGGATATTGTAATTGGTCTTGTGAGAGGGACCCATTGGAGTTTATTGAGTAGCGGGTGATGTGATCAGAACTACACTTTAATAAAATTACTTTGGCATCTGAGTGGATGGATTGAAGTGGGGAGAGACTTGAGGCAGGAATTCCAGTTAATTAGGAGGCTCTTGAAATAGTCCAGGTGAGAAGTGATGAAGGCCTGAATTAGGGTAGTAACTGTGTGAGTGGAGAGATGGTGGATGTATAAGAAAGATGGACAAAATTTGGCAACTGATTGGATATGTGGGGTGAGTTAGAACGAGGAATTTAGGATGACACTGAGGTTGTGAACTTGGGCATCAAGGAGGATTCCTAGATGTAGGGAAATTCAGAAGATGGCAGGGTTTAAAGGGAATGAATTCTGTTTTGGAAATGATTGTAGGCCATGCAGTTTAAGCTATTTAATAGATAGTTGGTGACAAAAGACTGGAGCTCAGGAGACCAAGTAGAGCTAGATACATCCATCTGAGAATCAATCATCTGCATAAAGATGATAATTGAACTCGTGGTAGCTGATGAGATCTCAAGGTAAGATTGTGTTAGAGGTAAGAGAGAACATTTGAAGAGAGCCTTGTGGACTGACCACAGATAATGGGATTGTGTTTGTTGAAGATCTAGTAATGGAAACAAGAAACTACTTTGAAATCTTTAGTAGAAAACCAGTGTTTTATAATGTTATGGAAGTAATTGTATTTTTTTTCCAATTCAATTTAAAACAACTTTTAGAATTTTGAAATGACCAGTGAGAAACTGCATTGGTCTGTTTTCAGTTTGTGAAGGCTTAAATCCTTTGGCTTTCTCTGTATTGTTATTTTTCCCATGAAGATAATTTATCCCTAAGCCTCTCATTTGATTTCATTTAATAGTTTTTGAAATTTAGGCACTTGAATATTTTTCCGTGGTAGAATCAGGCTTCAAGTAATTTAAGCTATTTGTTTACTTCATTTCAAGAATTGAAGTGCTTTCAGTGTGATTGGTATGATCTGAGTAATTGGATTTAGAGCTCACAGGGACACTAAAGATCATCAAATCTAATCCTCTAATTTCCTATATAAGAAATTGAATCAAACAGAGGTTCTGTGACTTGCCTAGGATCATACAAGCAATAATTCACACCCAGGGCTCCTAGACTCTTACATCCAATATCTTTACACTATGCCACATTTGCCCAGCTGTGACTTTCCTAGATAGCTTGCTGATCTCAACACTAGTCATAATTAGAGGAAAGATTTGCATCTGCTTTGAGAGGTTATAATTTTGTGGAGGGTTAGTTGATTGTTATATCAATTTTTCCCCCTGTAGTAAACAATATTTACTAAATTCATAGATTGCCATAAATATGGTATACATAGTTAGATCTCAGCAAGGCATTTAACAATCTCAGAAATGGAAATAAGTAGATTGAATGATAGTACTATAAGGTAGGTTCAGAATTGGTTGGATGAATAGAACCAGAGATTGTTGAGAAACATGGTTTAGTAGAAAGAGCACTGGTTGAAGAACACAGTATCTGCTAATTGGCCATATAAAATGAAAAATGCGTGAGAATAAATGGTTAAGGACAGCCAGTGTAGGAGACTTAGAGGGAAAAGTTGATATTTTATATGTTGAAATTTATGTATTTAAATTAAATAGCTATAAAGCAAGTTTAATTGTATGCATTGGTGTATCTTAGTATTTGCTAAGTGTCTGCTATGTGCCAGGTACTGTGCTAGCTAAGCGCTGTTTGTAATCAGCTATTTCTTAAGAAAAGAAGAGTAACAAAACCTCTGATACTGTGCTATTCATTTTCTTGAAGAAGAAACAAGCTACCTTTAAAGTAAATTTGCCCTACCATTGGGAAGGTTCTCATTAATCTGAAGCTTCACACTGTTTTTCTTGGAATAAGTTATTTTGTAGAAACTGTAAGTATTCCATTTGTATTCAACAGTGAATTTATAACCCCTCCCCCCCCAAAAAAGAAGAGTGAGCAATGGTTTTTCTGTGAAGAGATCTGGTATTGCTTCCTGTTTCCAAAACTAATCACAATTATTTGGAAATGTTTGCAAAGAAAGGATACAGTACAGTGATTCAACACTTAGCTCTGGTAAACTTTCTGGTAAACTTAACTCCTTTCTTCTCCATACTGGGAAATCTGGTCAGCTAGGCAGGGTATGTCCTAGGAATAGCCACCAAATCCTTAGACCGACTTTTTTGTGCCCATAGGTGTCCAGGAAGCCACTCCCACAAAGTCTGAGGCCACCAGGAAACTGCATTTATTGCTATGTGGCTTGAGCAGCCTTGGGCCCTCTGGCCAATTAAGTCTTAGAGTCACCTTTTTTCTCTTTCAGGGAAAGAATTAGTCCAGAGGTGTCAAACACCTGGCCTGCATTTCTGAGTGAAGCCCAAATCAGATTAATGTGTAATTGGGAAATGTTTAACCAAATGAATAAAAAAAATTGGTAACATTACATTTTAAAACTAAGTCATTATGCAGCCCACAGGAATGCATATGTACACATTAGTGGCCCCAGTTTCTGTTTGAATTTGATACCCCTGAAATAGCCTCACCTTTATGGAGGACAGGGTTAGATATTAATCCTATATGAAGGGTTTTTATTATCTTTCACTTCTCCAGAGTGCAGAGAGCCAGCCTCCCAGAGTGCCTGACGTGCCAAGATGAGGTTGGATGGAATGGGTGGGACCTGTGCAGTTGTTGGTGTGGGTTCCTAGTAGTATTTAGGTTAGGACATAGGATCATAGATTTAGACCTGGAAAAAGATCATATAGGCCTTTGATTCCATTTTATAGATATGGAAGTTGAGGCAAATAACTTGCCCACAATCAC